CTGACCATTAATAAATGTTGATTTATCCATGAACTAGGGAAAAATGAATGATATACCAAATATATATCCATGAACCATGGTGGTTACACCTGGTTGTTTCTATGATATCCCCTCCAGTAAATTAACATAACTATGGAAAATCACCATTTTTAATGGGTAAATCAACTATAAATGGGCCATTTTCCAGTTCGCAAACTGTTAGTTTACCAGAGGATATATCCCATTATCATCCAATTATCATACCACTATTGACCCACTATTAATCCATTAATATCCATTAATATCCACTATTTCAGGAAACCTGAGGGTATTAAAATATCCATGTGTAGTTGATTCCCATGGTATCCATGAAGAGTTCACTGCTGACGCCCCTTGCGTGCCGAGGTGGACTGGCTGACCACTGCCCTGGCGCCCAAGTTGAAGGCCTCGTCGGCCAAGAAGCGCGGAGACCCATGGAGCGAACGCGGATTCAACGTGGGGCCGTGGACAGCGGGAGAGAAAAATATGGTGGATTTCCCAGAGAAATGGTGATCGACCTGATCTGGTTGGTGGTTTGGAACATGAATGGATTATGTTTTCCATCATATTGGGAATGTCATCATCCCAACTGACGAACTCATATTTTTTAGAGGGGTAGGTCAACCACCAACCAGCTATTGTCTAGCAAAAGGTGGATTGATGTGGATTTTGTTAGCGAAGTTAGGTATTTTTGCCAGCGAAGATGTTGATTGAAGAAGATCTTGAAGGTGATTTAATGGGAGAATCACAGTGTTGGTCTGCGAAGTATCACAAGCAAGATGATTCACTTGTGGTTGGGGTTTGTCCTTCATATTAGCCCCTGGTAATTTAACACAGCTATTGAACATTGCCATTTATGGTTGGTTTACCTATTAAACATTGTGATTTTCCATAGTTATGTAAACGTTTACCACAGGCTACATAGTACCTTTGGATCATGCATCGTTTCGTACTTGTATTGCTGTATATCTGCCACTATATTATTATATAGGGCCCCCCCAAATGATAGCTAAGTTGGTTTATAATTCCAAATGTTATTTTCTGGCTTATGATACTTGATTTTTTTAGTTTGTTTTTCAACCAAATTTCAACGGAGGCTCACATTGCCAGCAACGTTGCCTACATGGACCGTCCTAAAAGCACCTTTCGTGGGCCAGCTAAGCCACAACATCGAGTCGCTACTTCACAGCCCCGAAATGCATGAAATGAATCCCATGGGGGTTAACATGGATATGTCTGGAATAGGGTATATGGTCTAGTAGAGCCATTTTTTGGGGGGAAAATGATGAACATTATGCTATTTGGAAGGAATCTTTGTTTGACCCCATTGGAAAATCCTTAGTTCAAAGATGTTTTTCCGATTAAAACCTTCATTTACTGGGGGTTTCCCATTGAAACCTTCGTTGATCGGTGGTTTTCCAAGATTTTCCCAGCTAGAAAAGTCCGTTTTTGACGTATTTACAATGGATTTGCCGATGGTTTTCCCATCAAAACCTGGAAAAAGATGCATTTCCAAGATTTTCCCAGTAAAACCTGCATTTCTAGATGAGTTTCCTATATTTTCCCGTTAAACTAGATGAGTTTCCCTGTGAATTTTCCCATTTTTAGTAAGGGTTTTCCCAGCCATCTCCGGCCGAGGGCCCCTTACGCCTTCGTGAACGGCTCGCTGAATGCCCTCGGCTCCAAACTGACCATGCAAGAAGCGGCCACTGGGTTTGACGCTGGTGAGGCGATCAAAGGTAGTGATTTCAATGGGATTTCAATCGGATTTCATACATAGCTGGCTGGTGATTTGGAACATTAAAAATAGGGGGAAGATGGTGATTAATGGGGATTGGACTATTGGGTTAATAATGGTTACTAATGATTTCAATGGGATTGGGATTTCAATATAGCTATTGAAATGGCCATTTCTAGTGGGTTTTACCAATTTAAAATGGTGATTTTCCATAGTGATTTACATTTTTTTATGGGATTTAATCGGAATATAATGGTTGGTTGGTGGTTTGGAGCATTTTTTATTTTTCCATAAATTGGAGAGAATCATCCCAACGGGTTGAAACCACCAACCAGAATAGGATTTTATGGGATTTATAATGGCATCTTATGGTTTTCATGGGTTTTTTATGGGATTCGGTGGGATTCAAGAACTCCCAGTTAGGAGATGACATCTAATCATTCCTTCGAATCACTAGGAATTCAACAGGTTTCTTTGCGGTTGGGATTAATTGTGATCTTGGGTTATATGTGGTGATTCCCCCCTGATTTTTGGGGATATACTCCACCCCCCATCTATATCAAACACCCTCATTCTAGGATCCCAAACATGTGTAAATGCCAACAAATTGCATGGTTTCTAGGGGTGTGTCATATAATGGAAAAGGGATTCACCAATAAAGTCTAAAGTAAAAAAGAATATATTGTCACTGCAAACAAACCAACTTACGTTTTAAAGTTGGAAGCCAATGATAAGCAAGCAGTTGACCCTGAATAAAAAAATGAGTCTGTTTGAAGCCCATAGTCAACTACTCGTTTAAAGACTTTAACCAAGATGGCGCGTTCCTTATTTCAACAAAGTTTGTCGAAGGATTGTTGGTGGATACCCCCAGGGCCCCTCAGTTGTTGGTGAAATCGGCATGATATCCAGCTACTATAGACATCATCCAAATAATCATTCAGATATGGAATCATCCAGATATGGAACTAGTTGATAAAGTCTATAGTGGTTCAGCATCATGGGCATTGGTGGTTCATCCCACTTCCTAAGTAGATTATAATATATTTTAATATCACATCATAATATATATATATATATGTATATCCCGGTTTTTAGTGGGATAGATAGGGTTAATCCAGCTCTGGTGCAAGACTTCTTTGAAGCCGGCAGGTCGGTGGTCCGTGCAAGACAATAGCACTGTTGGCAAAGGAGTGGGCAAAGATGAGCTCAACGCGGACATGGAGCACTCAACTGGACATAAGGCGGAAATAGCACTGTTTTTGGACATAGCACTGTTGGACACGAATTAAATGGGGCAATTGTGTGCTTCAACTGCACCATGTAGCGCCCCTTCCAAGCCTATGCTGTGGAAGGGTGGTGACTGGACAAACTGCTATCAATAAGCAGCAAGCGAGCTGTCGCGAAACCTACCTCACCTTGGCCGCCGAAGTCACTGTACGGTTTTAGAAGCGACTGGCACTATTTGTATTTTCTTGTATTTTCCAAATTAAATCTGATTTCATTCTTGCTATTTTATGTTTTGCATTTTTACTTGAACATAATTTAGTTTTTCCATGAATGTCTACAGTCTACAGTACTAAGTCCATGATTTTAATATTCAATATACCTTGTCATAACACATGTTACTATTACCACTACTACAATGTGCCCCCCAGTTACAAGTTGGTTTCTCTAAACCCCATGAATACTACTATACTTATCGGATGTTATAGGTATCATAAACCATAGTTATCCGAGTTATGTTCATCAACTCAGCTTCCTAGGGGGCTCCACATTGTAATAAACATACTTAGGTAACCATCAATCTTACGTCAGACCGAGGAATCGCTGCAGAAATTGGTCAAGGAGCCTTCAGCTGATGGTAGATGGGAGATCTCAAGCTCCATCAAACATGTGGATTTTATTGGTTTTCCATTGATTTTTAGTAGTTTTAATGGATGTTTAGGGAGCTATGGATCAATGTGGGGGTTCCATGAATATGGTAATGGAATGTAATGGAAACGTCCATTAGAATGGATGATTTATGATGATTTAAGGGTACCCCCATTTTAGGAACACCCCAAAGGGGTGTGTCTAAAAATATGAGATATTCATAATATATTCATAAAAATGCAAATTAACCGGGAAAACAATGATTCACCATTTGACTTTTTCGGATTCAAACCCAAATACTTTTTCCGGATCTGCCCAGGAAAATTGAATGGGACAATCGCTGAAATTTAGCAGTTGATGGTATAGTGACGGTACATGCTGGCATGTAAAAAACGGAGAAACATAGCAACAGCCTGAATATTTCTTGGAAATGTTTGGATGATTTCGGTGCAGTATGGCAATGAAAAATGTGGGCTCTCCAAACGTGGCTGGTTTGTGTTGGGTGCGGATGCGAACTATCCAACAAAACTGATGATTATATGGATTCTTACCCCCAGTTTTGATGCTTCAAAATGGTTCGGCTAGACGGATAGGTTGGTTGAATCAATCAGGCTAAACATGTATGGTTGATATATTGCAATTACATAAGAAGAGTTTATATCCATTTATAATATGTGTGATCACTAACAACTACGATCAAACAGAATCATTTTGCCAGCAAAAAATGGGGTGTAACCATCAAAATTGCGGGGATATTGGGTATTTACTCACGCACTGAACTTACCACCAGCTACCGGGTTTCCTCATTTAATTTGCAAAAATCATTGCATCAAGATGCGATTTTCCATTTTCCCCCCACAATTACGCTGAAATCCAAAGTGACAAACATATTTCTGGTTGGTGGTTTGGAACATTTTCTATTTTTCTATATATTGGGAATAATCATCCCAACTGTTTAATATTTTTCAGAGGGGTTGAAACCACCAAGTAAATTTTGTGTTGGGGTTTTCAGTGGTATCAGTCTATGCCGTTCTTGGTATCCACACATTTCGTTATGAATTGTTCTCTCCTGGTATCTAGGTAGACTGACGTAGCCATGTCAGATTTGCACGTTCAAGACGTAAATTGTCGTTTGTTCAAACGCCACATGGATGTGGGTCAGCATTTCAGACATTGAAACCCAGTATATGCCGTGTGGAATAGACCTGGCCATGAGGTGGGGGTTGGAAGATTTCCGTTCAAGAGAGATGGCCTATGTTAATGACATCGATTTTATGTTGGGTAGATTGTTCAATAACCCCCAAAATCATAACAATTGATTATCCAAATTATCATATTTAGCCCCAAAACACATCTATACTCAGGTTATTCCATTTCCCGAGGAGTATCATCACTTTTCCCATTAAAACATCCAAAAACTGTCATAAAGTTTGGGGCACACCCTCTCGTTTTTAATCCATATATTCAACGTTAACTTATCAAACCAGGACATGGTCGCGAAGCGAAAGAAGTTGGAGCAGGAGGCAGAGAAGAAAAGACTCGAAGAGGAGGCCCAGCAGATGGCTTGGAAAACTACGATGAAATCAGCGATGGTTACATAGCATATGGGATATGTAATGGACTACAATGTATGGTTTTTGGAGATATATCCCTAAAAAATAACAATTTACATCCATGTATATGATATTACTTCATAATTCCCATTATTTAAGGGATATGTAATGGATTAATACAATATATAAATGGGGTAATAGTGATAATGATAGCAAGTGTTTATGCAAATGTTTGTGATGGGAGATGTTTCATGACTAGTTATATTGACATTTTTCAGGTTTCCATGGTGGTTACCATCATGTATTCTGATGTTGTTTGATGTGTACGTATATTTACTAATATAGTTTTAGGTCATTGGAAAAAACGATGGAATCAGTGATGTTTGGGACATTTCTCCAGTGACTAAAAAACCACCAAAATATCAAACATCATTTTTTCATAGCCATCCGTTGTGTCAGTACAACCACCCGTTGTGTTTTGTGGGATGTTTACATCACTTCGATTTTGTCCATGGTGATGACTATGCAATCAGTCCCCAAGAAGATGCCAACAAAAATGTTTTTCGATGATTCATGTAGCGTAAATGTGGACCCAGGTGTCCAACTTTTCGGCATGAAGATTTAGGGCTTGCAATATATTTATATATTCATAGGTTTCCTGGGATCGGGATACCCCAATAGCTGGATGGTTTATAATAGAAAATCCGACTAAAATGGACGATTTTGAGGGTACCCCTATTTTAGGAAACCTCCATATATATATATATATTGATATACATACAATTGTACATACATTTACCATAAATAACTGGAACAGTGCGGGCTTTTTCTGGGGATATATAGACAAACAATAGGGATTTAAACAATGACTAATGGGTAGTAATGCGATATTAAAGAGGAGGCCGCTGTTGATTGGATATATGATGGGGGTTATAGTGGCTTATAACTTATAAGTACCTGATTTATTGGGTGTTATCATTCCTAGTCCAAGACAAGGATTCCTATTAACAACCATGCATGTGCTGCAATGAAAGAGGTGTATTATTCATGGCTCAAACTTGAGAAACCCAGAGGACTTAGCCGGGCAGAACAATGGGGTACCAACTGGGATTTTTCAGCAGCAATTCTGTGGATTCAATGAGGATGTAATGGGATATCTATAATGGTAGTATAATTACCCTCTGGTAATTTGTTGCATAGCTATTGAAAATGGCCCATAGAAATAGTTGATTTACCGAACTTAAAGATGGTGATGGTTCATAGTTATGTTAGTTTACCAGAGGGTATGTATAATGGAATATGGAGGTATAGTGGGAGTAAACACCAAGACCGATCGGGATTTTGCAAGACCAGCTATCAAAGGGACTTAGTTTTGTTTTACTTGGGATGCCATGGATAAGATGCTATAAGCCAATAAAAAATTATATGTCTAGCTTTACAATCAATAATATTAGATATGTGTAGCCATTTCTATAAGCAATATTCATAAGTCAAGCATAACACTAGACAATTAAGATGTGTTGGATATGGCCAAAAGTCAGCAGTTCCATTGGATGGTCTTCAAAAGCGCTCTGACACAACATCTTGCCAGCAACAACTGGTGAGTTTCTGTGAAAATGCAATTGTGACATCATGGGTTTATGTGTTTTTATGGTTTTACATGGTTTTAGATGGTTTTACATGGTTTTACCATGTTTTACCCATGTTTTACCCAGTTTTTGTTTAACTGTGGTTGTTTCAGATCCTGAAATGGCTATGGGATATATGGCCTAAAAAGGGCCCATTATGATACTGTGACGGTGACAGAGTGACTGGCCGCAGTCGGGGATGGATACCACGTGGTCCCCATGTGGCGATCTACCGCAGGGTTGCTGATTAGTTGGGGGATACGGGGATTATAATATACTGATTAACCTATATAGTCATATGGTTGACTATATGGTTGATTAACCTATACTAATGCTGATTATATGATAGTATATGGGGATAACTGATCAATATATATTTATATTAGTATATGGTTGATGATATATTATAGTTAGAGATAATAATAATATACTAATGGTAATATGGTTGAATTAGTACTTATATTATAATAGTACTGGTTCTAGTATATGGTTGATTAACCTATACCAATACTAATACTAATACTAATACTAATACTAATACTAATACTAATACTATATTTTACTCTAATATACTATTATACAATCATATACTATACTACAATAATATACTATAATACAATATATGGATGATACTATTGGTTGGATTATACATGATGAAATACTTCGTACCCTTTATGTATTGGGGATTATAAAAATACAAGAACGGGGAACCCCGTTCTTAACCAACCAGTTTTAAATGGAATGATAGAGGGATTTTGAACACTGCTCATGCACACTCATACGAAATCCGAAGAACAAAACGGTTGAACTCTCTCAACATCCGGGATGTCTCTGACCTCTACTGCAATTTCCACAATTGGTTTAAAATCGACAGGAACCCCCCCAATGAATTTGATCCAAAGAGCACCATGGTTTCCACTAAAGTGTTCCTAAGAAATTCCTTCCATCAGTTTCACTGTCGTTCACCATACAGGTTAGATCCGAGCTTATGGGGAACCTTTTGGCAGGAAAAGAAGAAGAAAGAGGAGCTTCCACAAAACGACGTTTCCGACGCGGATTTCTTTGCTCAATACATGTGCTGAAGCCCAGTGCAGCATCTCATGGAGAAACTGTGTAGTGGATTGGCTCTGATTGCAGAGGTGTATAGCCTATTCCACTATCACCCCATTGTTATCCCAGTATCATAACATTTTTATCCCAGTATGGTATCATACCAATGCTATCCCATGATCATCACATTGTTCTATTTCCGCGTTCCTTCTGGTTGCTTTCTTGATTGGCTGCCCAAGGGTATCCTTTGGTAATTCAACATATGAACAATCATCATTTTTAAATTAATACGGCAAATCATAATGTCTATCATCAAATTAAATGGGGGTGGCATTTTCCAGAGCTATGGTACATGACCAGAGGGTACTTTCCTATATTGGTTATATCACCAGAGTGTATCAAACTGCCATAGCTATATTAAATGAAACGACCAGAGGGTATCAACGTGGTTCAATGTGGGGACAATGATCCCAGCTATCGCAAACATGGGCGAAGCCCCTTACATGATAGATATAGAAACCAGCAGGTCATGGAAAAATACATGGGATGATCATGGATTATACTGTAAGAATAACGGGAGAATCAACGTAGTCATTCCCATCCCATGACATATGGGTAAACCTCGCTTCATCGCGAATCCAGATCAGTGTGTGGCACAACTACTTTGCCCTTCAAATTGCCATTGAATTTCAGAGGCCTGTAAATATGCTCGTGTGGTTCCTGAAAATGACTTCGTGTGGTTCCTAGCAACTGCGTGGCCAGAAATCTATAGAAACAGCTATCTCGGATCTTCAATCAGGGCTTTTTGTCGTGAACCATCATGGCATGTTGCTTGAAATGGGGTGGGTTGCCCCCCGGCAAAGCTGCGTAGCTTTGGGTGCCCAAGTTGCGGAAAGCCTGTCAACCGAAGGTGATATTTTCCCAAGTCGTTGACGTCTCAAACTGGTTCCCGAAGTTGCTTGAACTCTACCTGTCCGAGTAACGTTCACCCACCATGTCGGGTCCCCATAGGTCCCCCTTGGCTTTTAGAACTGGCGAAAGATATGCAAAATCTGACGGAAGTGTTTATAAATCATGCAACTGAAATCGCAGGAATTTCCACATTGCAAATCGGGGTGAGGACAGATTACATGATGTTGCAGAAGCAGGGCGCATTTTGGCATTTGCGGCTCAAGAACATCTACAAAAAGCTGCGATTTCAAGTCATTGGTATTTATGTATAGCATTTTATAGCAAACCCGAAAAAATAGAATTTGGTAAGATCCAAATAGTAGAACCATACATTCTTTGTTTGTTTTTTGGGGATTACAACATATCGTTATAGACGTCATCATCTACATTGGTCAAAGCAACTCTGGGGTGTGGCTCGGAACAGTGACAAGGACCCATTTCAGGGGTACCTGGAGGCCGCACTTCTCATATGGTTTCTGCAGGTCTGTATCATACAGTGCTTCTCCGAAGTGATGGCTGTGCAGTCGCTTGCGGACTTAATGCGCAAGGCCAGTGCAATATTCCACCTTTGGATGAGGGTGTGACATACACCCAGGTCTCTGCAGGTACAGAGCATACAGTGCTTCTCCGAATTGATGGCTGTGCAGTTGCTTGCGGACTTAATGCGCAAGGCCAGTGCAACATTCCACCTTTGCCTGTTGGTGTGACATACATGCAGGTTTCTGCAGGTGGTTCTCATACAGTACTTCTCCGAAGTGATGGCTGTGCAGTTGCTTGCTGTCGACTTCATGCGCCAGGCCTGTGCATCATTCCACCTTTGGATGAGAGTTTCACATACACCCAGGTCTCTGCAGGTAGGGAGCATTCAGTGCTTCTCAAAAGTGATGGCTGTGCAGTTGCTTGCGGACTTAATGCGCAAGGCCAGTGCAACATTCCGCCTTTGGATGATGGTGTGACATACACCCAGGTTTCTGCAGGCGGTTATCATACAGTACTTCTCCGAAGTGATGGCTGTGCAGTTGCTTGCGGACTTAATTGGCAAGGCCAGTGCAACATTCCGCCTTTGGATGATGGTGTGACATACACCCAGGTTTCTGCAGGTGAGCTTCATACAGTGCTTCTCCGAAGTGATGGCTGTGCAGTTGCTTGCGGACTTAATGCGCAAGGCCAGTGCAACATTCCGCCTTTGGATGATGGTGTGACATACACTCAGGTTTCTGCAGGTGGTCATACAGTGCTTCTCCGAAGTGATGGCTGTGCAGTTGCTTGCGGACGGACTGATCATGGCCGCTGCAGAATTCCATCTTTGAAGTCGTGGCTTCAGTGGTTCAACTTTTCGTCTCCAAGCCTTCGTTACATTTCTGATTTTAAGCCCACTGAGAGGAAGCCGGAGCGTGTTTTGCAACTCTGCTGGAGTCATGAAGCTGACGAGATTGTTCTGATTTGCTTTGGCTTGGATGGACTGGAAGTGCTGCGCTTAAGGGCCAGTGGAGCTGACTTAGCTGCCGAGGTTTCCAGTCATCTTGCGTTGCAGGCTGATGAGCAACAGCTTCGTGTTGTCTTGCCCGATGGGCAGTTGTTGGAGGCAGTTTGTGCCGCAGATCCATGTGTCACACTTGCGACCCTCTGTTTGAAGAATGAGAAGGCCTGAAAAGAGGTCAGCTGTTTCCGGACGTAGTGTGTTGGGGAATGGGTGGCTCACCTGAGACAGAATGCTGTTCAATCATAAGACAAAAAAATGTCCATTTTTGTTTCATGCGTGCGTGAGTATTTGAAACTCTCTCTCTCTCTCTGTCTCTTTGTCTTCTCCCTCTCTCTCTCTCTGTGTAGAATTGCATATACTCGTGTAAAGTAGAAATAGCCCAGACAATTTACACGTGTGTGTGTGTGCGTCTCCATCGGAGATATTGTGATTTCAAGCTTCCTATTGTTGACTGGAATCGATCCTCGTACATCATCACGAAGTTCCATGCCAACTTTGCTGAGTTTGATTACGGCTGCATGATGAGACTGACTGCTATATGGCTGCTGTCATGATACATCTTGATGCACGGTGCAAGGCTAACACAGCTTATCACATAGAAACATGTCCTGGTAGTTGTAACAACCACGCATATAGATCCATTACATAGACAATAGATGACAATAGATGGAATACAGACGCCCGGACACTTGAACACACCATGATTGTGAATCATTTCGCAAAGTGAAAACCAATGGGTTGAACCCCATACCGGAGGGATCTGATTTTTCGTGTTTTTCCCCAAACAGTGTGGCCACACTGCGGAGTTCTTGCGGTAAGTGTTAAGGTCCGGTGTTCAATCGAGGTGGTATTGGAAGCGTCTGGCATTTTCCCTGTGAATTTCCGCACAAAATGCCTCTTGTGACATGTTCATGTTCATTTCGACTGCGGAGGTTCGCACAAAATGCTGGGCCCGGGATACGGGTAGAAAAGAAATTGTCATTCTTCTCTGCAGCTGCAGCAGCTCCAAGTAGAGTTCCTCGTGGTTTTCTTCTAGGACATCAGGATCTGCTGCCAAGATTTTGTGGGACTCAGGGCCACCAGGAGAGCAATTCCTGAAAGCTTTCACAGCTGCCACCAGATGCTGATCTGCCACGGCTAACACATTCACCTTGAGGCTGAAAAAATCATGGACATACACATGCTGGTTTTCTCAGTGAATTCAAAGGTCAAATAGACACAGCCCAACTGTCAGCTCCAACCAACCAAGCGCACCTCTTTTTTAATTCAAAAAATCAAACTGAAAGAAGCATATTATATTCAGTTAAGAAATGTCAAAGCACAGGGTGGCTTCCTCACCATCCTCCCGTAGCCACCAAAAAAAAAGACACGTACTCTAAAAACAAAGAAAGTTTTTTTTTGTTTAATAAAAATGTCTAATGTTTTAAGGGTCTACTGGTCTACCAGGGCTTGTGACGTGTCCATGTTCATTTTGACTGCGCAGGCTCGCACAAAATGCTGGCCCGGGGATTAGTTGGCATTTTCCTTGTAAATTTCCGCACAGGATGCCTCTTGTGCAATGTCTGTGTGCATTTCGATTGCGCAGGCTCGCGCAAAGTGTGCTTCCCGGTCTTGGGATCGGTCTTCCACCTCAACATCAGCCTCCTCAACTTCATCATCTTCCTCCTCCTCCTCCTCAACATCCACATCATCATCTTCCTCTCACCATCATCAGCATCAGCATCATCATCATCAGCATCATTATCATCATCATCATCATCATCATCATCAAAATCATCGTAATCATCATCATCATCATCACCACCATCATCACCAACATCATCGTCATCATCAACATCATCATCAACATTAAAATACATGATCTTTTCATTCCCCCCACGCTGTTTTGGGTCTCTTGCCGGGATAATTGATTTCGCCTGGGGCTTTGTAAGTTGCCGGGCAGATGGTGAGGGGAGCACGCCAAAGCTGACGATGTCCCCACTTCAAAACCGTTTGGGCATGTCTCAAACCTCTAAAACTCTAGAACGAAGCTATTTATGCTCAATCCATGTCCCCCCAATTAACCACGCAGGCCAATACTGACACCTCCGGTAGTTTTCCGTGTTGGGTTATAGTTAGTCTATAGAGGGAAGACGATAATTAACCAGTGGGTTGAGGGTACCTCGTTTTTAGAGACATCCATTTGAGAACAGCAGCAACTACACACGGGGGAAAGGCAGAGTCCATGGCCCTCTCATGTGGTAGTAAAAAAACTTAATAAGATACATGTCCTTCGGCATTCAAACATTGCTGGCTGGAAAATCCCGAACTAAGTGGAGGTGTTCAGGTGGAAAATCTTCTGTACAATGGGGGATTCTCCACTGTTGTGTTTGATTAGACGATTACCAGGGGGGATTTTAGCAGTTTTTCGCTGCTGTGAAAATGTGATTTTTAACACCATGACCCGGTCAATGATTCGCTGGAGAAACTGGGCACTTTTTTGCGGCTCAAGAAAGTCTACAAAAGCTGCTATTTCAAGTCATTGGTATTTCTAGCAACCCTGAAAAGAAAGAGAGAATTTGGCAAGATCCAAATAGAGGTACCGTACGCCAGTTGTCTGTTTTTTCAAGGACAACAGCATGTTGTTAGTGATATCATCATCTGCCATGGTCAAAGCAACCCTGTTTTGTAGGTCAGACCAGTGAAAAGGACCCATTTCGGGGGTTCCTGCAGAGACCTCTCATATGGTTTCTGCAGGACAATATCATACAGTGCTTCTCCGAAGTGATGGCTGTGCAGTTGCTTGCGGGCTTAATGTGGGAGGCCAGTGCAATATTCCACCTTTGGATGAGGGTGTGACATACACCCAGGTCTCTGCAGGTACAGAGCATACAGTGCTTCTCCGAAGTGATGGCTGTGCAGTTGCTTGCGGAGAGAATGAATGCGGACAATGCGACATTCCTGCTTTGGATCCGGATGTGACATACGCCCAGGTTTCTGCAGGTAGTGAGCATACAGTGCTTCTCCGAAGTGATGGCTGTGCAGTTTCTTGCGGACTCAGCAATGTTGATGAACAGTATCCACCTTTGGATGAGGGCGTGACATACGTCCAGGTTTCTGCAGGTGGTTATTATACAGCCCTTCTCCGAAGTGATGGCTGTGCAGTTGCTTGTGGATTTAATGGTGATGGACAGTGCAACATTCCACCTTTGGATGATGGTAAGACATACATCCAGGTTTCTGCAGGTAGTAAGCATACAGTACTTCTCCGAAGTGATGGCTGTGCAGTTGCTTGCGGACAAAGTGATGATGGCCAGTGTCAAATTCCACCTGTGGATGAGGGTGTGACATACACCCAGGTCTCTGCAGGTGCTCATCATACAGTGCTTCTCCGAAGTGATGGCTGTGCAGTTGCTTGCGGACTTAATGCGCAAGGCCAGTGCAACATTCCACCTTTGGATGAGGGTGTGACATACACCCAGGCCTCTGCAGGTAGAGAGCATACAGTTCTTCTCCGAAGTGATGGCTGTGCAGTTGCTTGCGGACGGACTGATCATGGCCGCTGCAGAATTCCATCTTTGAAGTCGTGGCTTCAGTGGTTCAACTTTTCGTCTCCAAGCCTTCGTTACATTTCTGATTTTAAGCCCACTGAGAGGAAGCCGGAGCGTGTTTGGCAACTCTGCTGGAGTCATGAAGCTGACGAGATTGTTCTGATTTGCTTTGGCTTGGATGGACTGGAAGTGCTGCGCTTAAGGGCCAGTGGAGCTGACTTAGCTGCCGAGGTTTCCAGTCATCTTGCGTTGCAGGCTGATGAGCAACAGCTTCGTGTTGTCTTGCCCGATGGGCAGTTGTTGGAGGCAGTTTGTGCCGCAGATCCATGTGTCACACTTGCGACCCTCTGTTTGAAGCATGAGAAGGCCTGAAAAGAGGTCAGTTGTTTCCGGATGACGTGTGTTGGGGAATGGGTGGCTCACCTGAGACAGAATGATGTCAATTTATTTCATGCGTGCGCGGGTATTTGAAACTGTCTCTCTCTCTCTCTCCCTCTCTCGCTCTGTCTTCTCCCTCTCTCTCTCTCTCTCTGCAATTGCATATACTCGTTTAAAGTAGAAATAGCCCAGACAATTTACACATGTGTGTGCGTCTCCATCGGAGATATTGTGATTTCAAGCTTCCTATTGTTGACTGGAATCGATCCTCGTACATCATCACATAAAGTTCCATGCCAACTTTGCTGGCTTTGATTACAGCTGTGTGATGAGACTGACTGCTATATGGTTGTTGTCGTGATACATCTTGATACACGGTGCAAGGCTAACACAGCTTATCACATAGATACATGTCCTGGTAGTTGTAACAACCATGCATATAGATCCATTACATAGACGCCCAGACACTTGAACACACCATGAATGTGAATCATTTCGCAAAGTGAAAACCAATGGGTTGAACCCCGTACCAGAGGGATCTCATTTTTCGGAAATTCTTTGGCATTTCCCCTGGAAAGTTGTAAGTTGCCGGGCAGATGGTGAGGGGGGGTACGCCAAAGCTGACGATGTCCCCACTTCAGGCATGTCTCAAACCCCTAAAACAAAGCTATTCATGTCACCTCTCCCCCCAATAAACCAGGCAGGCTAATACCGACACCTCGGGTAGTATTTTAGTCTTGGGTTGTATTTTGTAGTAGAGGGAAGATGATAATTAACCAGTGGATTTAGGATACCTCGTTTTTACAGACATCCGTTTGAGAACAGCAGCAACTATACACGGGGAAGGGCAGATTCCATGGCCCTGCCTCACCCAGTAGTAAAAAAAACAATAATATATATATATCCCCCGGCATGCAAACATTGCTGGCTGCGAAATCCCCAAACTAAATTAAGCTTTTCATGGGAAAATCCTCTGTATAATGGTTGATATGCCGCTGTCATGTTTGATGACCAGAGGGTATTGTTTTATGCTGCTGCGAAGATGTGATTTTCAATGCGATGCCCTAGTCAGTGGCATGATTTTATATTGACACATATTGTGTTCCACATCTGTGAATGCATGATGTGGTGAATATTTCCACATAATTTCCATCAAAAAGCAGGTGTTTTTCCCGGCCATCTTCAATGATCAACCGCTACCCCTTCCCCTTTCCCGGGCGACGTCAGTCCCGACCCTGCGAGGTGAGATTCCTGCGTCCCGCCTCCTGAGGGGTCGGGGTTGCACTGAGTACAGAACCAGCAGAAGACATGGGGAGAACATGGTTCACAAACCGTTTTAATATGTTTCAACATGAGATAAAATCACATTTTTTTTTGGAATGGTTCAACATGAGATGTGTTTTCTTCCAGATTTGGTAGGGAAAATGCATGAAAGTGCTAGTATACCTAGGGGGAAGCCTATTTTCAGACAAACCTGAACGGTTCAGTGTCGCTGGGCTCTGAACCAAATATCACAGGATTGAGCCCCATAGTTGGCTAAGTTGGTTTAGAACTATAATAACAATAGTATATGAGATTTACGTGGCGAAAGTTTCAAAGATAGGAAACTATAGGAGAGGTCAGTTGCTGTGATGCATGGATGGCAGAGCTAACTGATGGACCGACAGGTGGTTGGAGCTGTGCTTTTTGGAGCGGTTGCAGTGGTCACCTCACCCACCACTGGATGTAGTGTGGCGGACTGTAGTGTAGTGAAGCTGTAGTTGTAGTTTTAGTTGTAGCGTAGGTGTAGTTGTAGTTGTGTCTGTAGTGCAGCGTAGTGTAGTGTAGCTGTAGTTGTAACTGTAGCTGTAGTTCTAGTTGTAGTGTAGTGGTAGTGGTAGTTATAGTTGTGGTTGTGGTTGTTTCCGCTGCTGCAGTTGCACTTGCAGTTGTTGCTGTAGCTGTAGTTCTAGTGGTAGTGTTGGTGTAGCTGTTAGTGGTAGTGGTAGTGCAAGGTGTAGTGGAGTGGTAGTGGTAGTGGTAGTGTGGTTGAACGTCCAAATGTGGACCGAACGTGGTGTGGTTTTCACATTTTCACTTCCACATGACATGTGCTTCTCGCCACACTGGCGTGCACTCTTTCAACAGCTCAACTTCCAAAAGTTCTGCAAACCAGTTAGTTTTTTACACTTATGACTTCGAAATGTTTTTCGCACCACAACGGCATGCACTTTTTCACCATCTCAACTTCGAAAAGTGCTCCGAACATCAGGTGTTTAGTGCATTTTGACTTCGAAATCTGCTTCGCGCTACAACGGTGTGCAATTTGTCATCTCTCATCTGGCCAGACGGCTCTGCTCCCGCCGCTTTAGCGAGCCTACTTGTCGACCCTCCAGAGCCACAAGACTTTTGTACCTTTTCACGCACCTGCATCTTCTTTCTTCTGACTCGTTCTCTTCTCTGATCTTCTTTCTTCTTCTCTTCTCTTCTCGTTTCTGATTCTTCCCATCTCTGCTTTGTCTATTGTCCATTTTGTCGGAGGTTTGACTTCTAAACTTCCTACGGTAATAATAACTTATTGCTGGGAGGCAAAATCCTGCAGCATATAGTTCTTATTGTAACATGGGCTGCTGCAAGCAACCAAAACAGCTGTGGCTCCAACAAGCTACGCGGCCTCACCGGAATGATGGGAATTGGATTGGGGTAACTGGGCCCCCAAATAGCCCAATCAGACTATATAGTGGTTTTGAAAAGTGGTTGGTGGTTTGGAACATGTTTTATTTTCCCATATATTGTGAATAGTATTCCCAACTGACTTTCATATTGAAACCACCAACCAGAAAATGATGTCGAGATTAATGCTATAGTAATACAACAATAACCTCCACACGATGGGATATGGAACCCCTTTTGGAGAGCTCTATCCACTTATACTGGGAAGTATACCCCCAAATCATTTGTATATTTGGATGTGTTTGTAGTGGTTTTTGGTGTGTATATATATATACTTATGATTATATACTATAGTTAGAGAAATTGTGTATATATATACGGCATTTGGTTTTTGAAATATATACATAATTATTGTCTACAAGTAATAAATAACATATTATTATTATGTAATTACATTTATCCAGATGAATGTATCCATCAACAGCTTTCGTAGTTGGACCATCAAGTCACAAACGCGTCAACGGATGCAGTTGAATCGCAGCTGGCGGGCAAAGTTGCGGGGCAAATTTCTCAATGATTATTGCGGGGATGATATTACTCAATATTCTACATTTTGGGAGTAATTAATATATCATAAGCCTTTATATTACAACAACTATATATATATATATATATATATTTCTTTTTTTACTTGGAAATGTTCTAGGATAAACATTGAATTTTCAATATATTTCAAACAAAACATAGTAACCAGATGTAACCAGCACAAAGGGACGAAAATGTCAAGTACTTCTGTGAGAGATGCCCAGCGCTGCCTGCCGAAACAGCAGTGTCTTAAGTGCGAGCAGCGTGAGCCTTTCGGGGGTGAAGACACGCAGTTTGGTGACGGGTGTGAGAAAAAACAGTATCATTGGAATATGCAGGAACGGTGCCACAATCGTTTTAAAGTCTAAGTTGTATCTACAGTGTCGAACAGTATCACAAAGGTGAGGTTTCTGTCGACTTCTGCCGGAACTCGGGGCAAGTTATGGGAAAACCATTTGGGGCCCATGTCTATTTTAGGAAACCTCTACTTCTCAGCGACGTTTATTTTTATCAGGGTATCACGAGGGTAGCCATGTTGGAACCATATTTATTATCTCTATTGTGAACAATATTTCTGTGGCATATATTGGGAGTGACTAAATCAGCGGGTTACGCCACGGATACAATATACATCAGCAGTTTTGGCCCTTCACCAGTTATCAGTCGGTTACAACCCCATTTATGGAATCATCATCCCATTAATGACCGTAAAAACAGTTGGTAAAGGTTTTCAACTGTAGGGTAGTCATGAACCGTATTTAAAATCATCCACCAATACCATGATTCACTTCACTCGAGTCAAGGCTGTAACATCGTGAGACTGACAACAGTCAGCACAGAGGCGGCCGTGTGCAAAAGGCGTTGCAACATGCTTGGGCTGGGTACATCACATGCATAATTGCAATATATAACATAGACCCGGGCAAGCCGGCGGCGGAAGTTTCCCAAACATAAATGACCTATAGTTCAAAGACACCCTGTCCCGACCGTGTCCTTCCCTCGACAACCGTTTGATTTTTTCAGCGAGAGACGAAGCAAAGTCTTCACACTCCACACTTCACACTGCACTCTTCGCACTCCAAACTTCAAACTTCACACTCCACACTTCACACTGCACTCTTCGCACTCCAAACTTCAAACTTCACACTCCACACTTCACACTTCACACTTCACAGTCCACACTTCACACTTCTCACTTCTCACTGCTTCCTTCACACTCCAAACCTCACACTTCACACTTCACACTTCACACTGCGCTCTTCGCACTCCAAACTGAAACTTCACACTCCACACTTCACACTCCACACTTCACACTTCACACTTCACTTCTCACTGCTTCCTTCACACTCCAAACCTCACACTTCACACTTCACACTTCACACTGCGCTCTTCGCACTCCAAACTGAAACTTCACACTCCACACTTCACACTCCACACTTCACACTCCACACTTCACACTTCAGACTTCACACTTCTCACTTCTCACTGCTTCCTTCACACTCCAAACCTCACACTTCACACTTCACACTTCACACTGCGCTCTTCGCACTCCAAACTTAAACTTCACGCTCCACACTTCACACTTCTCACTTCCCACTGCTTCCTTCACACTGCACACTTCACACTGCACTCTTCATGCCCCACACTTCACACTGCTCTAAACCTACGTGCAACAAAAAAACACTAGCGCCAAAATGGAGAAAATCTGCTAACAAATCCATTTCGCAGCCTTCATGCAGCCATTCCAAGACGATGTACGAGATCCAGCTGCAAAAGACATTAGGCATGCAGCCAAAGCAAGAAGCAACCTTGACACAGCCATTCCAATGCGATCTGCGGAGACTGAGTTGCAAAACACAAGAGAACTACGCGCAATGGCATCGGAAATTGTAGCTCCAAAACCGGATCTCGACGCCAGAGCGAAAAAAAGACGATTTTGAAGCACTTTTTAAAAGGATTTTTAGAAGGAAAATCACTAGCGCCAAAATGGAGAAAATCTGCTGACAAATCACTGTCGCAGCCTTCATGCAGCCACTCCAATACGATTTACGAAGTCCAGCTGCAAAAGACAATAGTATTACGCATGCAGCCACAGCATGAAGCAACCTTGACACAGCCATTACAATGCGATCTGCGGAGACTGAGTTGCAAAACACAAAAGAACTACGCGCAACGGCGTCGGAAATTGTATCTCCAAAACCGGATCTCGACGCCAGAGCGAAAAAAAGACGATTTTGAAGCACTTTTTAAAAGGATTTTTAGAAGGAAAATCACTAGCGCCAAAAACGCATTTCGTGCGAGACTTCCTTCAAAACTCCTTGACGCAGCCATTCCAATGCGATCTGCGGAGACTGAGTTGCAAAACACAAGAGAACTACGCGCAATGGCGTCGGAAATTGTAGCTCCAAAACCGGATCTCGACGCCAGAGCGAAAAAAAGACGATTTTGAAGCACTTTTTAAAAGGATTTTTAGAAGGAAAATCACTAGCGCCAAAATGGAGAAAATCTGCTGACAAATCACTGTCGCAGCCTTCATGCAGCCACTCCAATACGATTTACGAGATCCAGCTGCAAGAGACATTACGCATGCAGCCAAAGCAAGAAGCAACCTTGACGCAGCCATTCCAATGCGATCTGCGGAGACTGAGTTGCAAAACACAATAGAACTACGCGCAATGGCGTCGGAAATTGTAGCTCCAAAACCGGATCTCGACGCCAGAGCGAAAAAAAGACGATTTTGAAGCACTTTTTAAAAGGATTTTTAGAAGGAAAATCACTAGAACCAAAATGGAGAAAATCTGCTGACAAATCACTTAATCCGCCGCAGAGGTAGATCATCGAGGTTCGGGGACGGACTTTCTATGGAAAAACATAGGGTTTCGTGCATCTGCTATCTCTCAAAGACGCATTTCGTGCGAGACTTCCTCCAAAACTCCATCGGCAACTCATCCACCAGCACCACTTGCAACCCCATTTACAATGCGGGAACGATCCTACAGTTGCAAATCACAATGGAATTCTGTCGACCACACATGCACAAAAACAGTTGAAACCCCATTTACAATGCGGAACCGATCCGAGACCGA